TTTTTTTTTTGTCTTTTAAATTTATTATGACAATTGAATTCGTTTAAAGACAACAGAAATACACTAAAAATTATTTTTTTGTAGATATTAAGTCGTCCATTTTTGAACTTACTTCGTCGTGTCTTCTCTGCAAAACTTTTTAACAGTTACCGTTCTTGGTAAATACTATTTTAAATCGCCGTCAATAGCTCAAGTTTTTCCACCTACCTTTTATTTGTTTGGAAGCCTTTTTTTCTCCGTTTGCATTATGGCAATATTATTTTCTGATTGCTTAATTTTTATTTCTTTGAACAATTTTCTCTTTCTTCACCCATACAAAAAAGTTTTAAAAAAAACAATTTTTAAAACTCTTTTTTAAACCTTCACACGGTAAAGGTTCAGAGTACTGGACATTTGCAAAGAATAACCCAAAAAAAACTTTATCCTTGTAACATACCTGAAGATGACCAATTAGTCGTTTCGTTGATGACAAAAGTTGACATCTTCTTTCTCTTTTTAATGCTATGCCGAACTTCTCGACCAAAATAAATATTGCTTTATTACATCACTGTCGATTACGATTTATTGAAGCCAATTTTATTTTTCAGGTTTACTTAAATGGCGGTTCTTGGTCATGAAAGAAACTACATTATAGATGTATCCACCCCTGAAACGCTGGAACGAGATTTTTATGCTTGGCTTAATGTAACAGTTTCACATTGCCGTTACTCCACCAAAATTCCAATCTTAATGCTAAGAAGTATTTTAGAATGACTGTTTTTGAACTAAACTTTATTAAATTATTTTTAATCAAAAAGAGAAACCTTCAAGTAAGACAAATCGTATAACTTGAGACAATCACTGTTCAGATTAGCCAGACTGACTTCTATTACCTAAATAAATAATTGAATAAATTTCAGGGTGATATCAATTATGACTTCCATTACTCCAATACTTTGCCACAATTAACTACCAGTAACACGCATGACCAACTGTCGCTGTGCGACGATCTGTTCTCAGATGTCAGTTCATCAGGCGAAAGTCGCCCGTCATCAATTTCATCCGATTGCTATGAATACAGATTGCCACTTGAAGTGGAACAGAAGCAAAATACTTCAGTTTGTCAACACCGAAGTTCAGGTATCGAACAATCACAGATCGATAGAGACCTTCTAATCTCAATCCTTGCTAACAATCAAAACGCCTTTTTACAAATAATTGCGACAAAAAAACTCAAGGTCAAAAATTTGTATTACTTTTTTTGATCTCCAATAATGTACTAACCCATACATCACCTGGTAAATTACTATATCTCAGTATGTAATTAATTTATAACAACACCTTTGAATGTTACTGAATCGGCAGCAGCAAAACATCTTTCAAATCACACTGTTTTCAATAGTATTAATGATTATCTAAACTTACTAAACTCTTACGCCGGACATATTAATTTCAAATTTATAATCTGTTTGTAAAGAACATCCTAATTTTCTCACAGTCAGAAAGATACTGATGCTGAAACTATTCAGAGTATAATAACTGCGAACAATAGCAATAATAACTTTAAGGTACTAATCAGTTAGGACGAACTTACAGTCCTGGCTTACCGTTATCAATGGCCGAACGTGAACACATTGTTGCGTTATATACCAATGGTTGGAAGATCTGTGACATATCTAAGCGTTTATGTGTCACTCATAGCTGTGTTTCCAAAATCCTAAACAGGTTAGCCTCAGCAAATTTAAACTTGATATGCCACTGCTGTATAAGCTTCGATCAGATATGTATC